CGGGTGCAGCGCTGGCTGGACGAGTGCTACGCACCAATGTAAGACAAAGCACTTCCAGGCTCGAACATGCACTGTACAGCTAGAAACAATTTGAGCAACCATGCGCAAGGATCAGGTCCGCCACCTCAGCATCCGTCGGGGTCGAATGCCTCTGCGCCCGAGAGGGGATCGAGCATGGAATGGAGAACCGTCGAGCCCCCCTCATACTCCACATGGTCCTCCTCTGCGCGGGAGACCTGCTCTTTCTGAGCCAATTCGGCGGGAGACTTCGCTGCTGAAGACACACGGCGTAACAGAAAACTCAGACAGAAGGAACCAACATTCATGAACGCCCGGATGATCTCAATTCCATAGCAGTGCGGAAGCTCAGATCCGCTATGGCTGCCGAGTGGGCAATCGATCTGGGGCCCGAACGGCAACCGAACTGGCTCAGACATCGAATCAACTTTGAATGGAACCGCCGCGAAGATTTCTCGTTCCTGATCAATGACCCAAATTGCCAACGTGCTTTTTTCAATCAAATCGTTTCTCGTAGATTCCGGCCTCTGCGGCCTGTTAGCGGACCTCGGGACCGTCAAACACGGATCTGAGACAAACAACTACCCCCAGGGAAAGGGTCGGGCCCTCTGGGGGCGCGGATTGAAGGGAAGTGGGTGTCGGGTGTCAAGGGGTTCCGCCCACAGGAGACCAGTCGGGGCTTTCGTGCCACCTTGTTGCAGCTTTTGTCACGCTCTGGCTGCCGCGCGGGGTCCGAACCCCTTTACAATACTAGTGAAGTTCTACGATAATTGCAGAAAATGCGAAAATAATGCCAGATAGGCTCAGATAGAAACGTAATGCCCTGGCAACCATGCCTCCTGCTTTCCTCCCGTCCTTCCTCCGCCCTGGCCCGGAGTAGGTCTGACAATCACGACTCCCGTATGCTGCTCCTCATTCTCCAGGTCATCCTCAGGCTTCTCTTCCTCCTCCTCCTTCTCATCCTCCTCCCGCTCCGCCTCGTCCTGCCTAGCCTCTGCCCAAAGTGACTATACAGCAACGGGGCCCAGGATCAGTGTACATGGTCCCCAGGCCAAGCCAGAGGACGATTGCACGGATTCTGGGCCCCAGGGTGGACAAGGAGAAAGCCCAAAGACCTCAATCTGCGAACCTCGATCCTCCCTTGGGGCTTCGAGGCCTTCTCAAAGGGGAGAGCTTTTCATCCTGAGTCGTGTATCCACAGGCAGAGAGCGTCGAGCAGAAACCGACACGTCCATTCTTGCGACGCCTGGGTCTGAGGGCTTCTGCTCCCCTCTCCACTCGACCACATGCAAGGGTGACCCCTGACAAGAGTGATCTTTGGTGTGCGGCTTGCCGATCGTTGCCTGCGACGCGGCAGCGGCGGCCTGCGTGCTTGGGTCTGATATCCCCGCGACTTCCGAACGCCATGCGCCAAAGATGAATCCGGAGCAGAACCACCCTTCTGTCGGTCACACGCAAGAGTGACCCTAGGCAAGAGTGACCTTTGGTGCGCCGCTTAACGGGGGACGCGGGGTGGCCAAACCCAGGCGCGCAAGCCGCTGCCACCGCTCCGCGCTCGACGATCGGGGGACCCCCTTGGGACCAAGGTCCTTCCGGCTCAAGGTCACCCTTACGTCTAGACGATCATGAGGGGAAACGTCGGGGGGGGGGGAGACGAGTTCAGGGTGGGAAACAGCGACCTGGAATCCGCGATCTATCGCCGATCGATCGGCGATAGGCCCTCAGTACGAGAATGAGGGGGAACGTTAGGGAGGGACATGTGCAGGGGAGGAAACGAAGACCTGGATTCGCCGATAGATCGGCGACTGGCCTTCCGTCCGCACGCTCCTGGGCGGGACGTCGGCCACCCGGCTCACCACCCGACGTTGCCCCTGGATGGGGTCTGTGGCTTCCCCGCGCCTCCCGGAAGCCGCGCACCAAAGGTCACTCCAGCGGAAGGTCACTCTCCTGCTCCTCCTCCTCCTCCTCCTCCTCCTCCTCCTCCTCCTCCTCTTCCCTCCTCCCTCCTCCCGCCTCCCTCCTGCCTCCTCCTTCCTCCCTCCCTCGTGTTCTGGCTCGCGGGTCATGCCTGTGCCCTAAAGGCGACCGTTCGGGACGATCCAAGCACCAGCTGAACGCTCTCAGTGAGGCGCAGCCGCTAGAACGCATTCAGGCTGTGGAACACCGCCAAGAACCGACGAACATGTCGGCACACCTCGAACCCCGTACCTCCTGAGAGCCGCGCACACCGGAGGTCACTCTGGCAAAACAACCACTCGTACGCGCAACCGATATCCCCGCCTTCCGCCCTGGCTATAGCTCTGTTCTTCGGCGGCCCTTCGGGAGGATTCTGGTACTCCCAGAACCGCTCTCGGCGAGGCGCAACTGCCAAGGCTCGACCCAAATAATGTGTTCCATGCTCGTATTGGTTTTGTTTTCCCTCGTTCTGTCTCCGAACCGCCCTGGCCAGGCCCTGGCTGCCAAAGCGACATCAACACGAAGACGGTCCACGAAATCGCCACAACACCGCTTACAGTCAACCCGTGTAAGAAGGACGCACGAACAGGATGCAAGGGCTTTGGAATGCCATGCCGACACTTTGCAGGCGGGGCGCGGCCAGCGAAAGCGGCCGAGGGTGGGCCCAGGGAGAAGGATGCCAAGGGGTAGCCCTGGAGAGTGGCTCATCCTTCCTGTGCGGGTTGACTGCAGCTCGAGCCCTCTCACCTGGAGCGCACCCCGAGACAGGGCAGCCTGCAGGCGCCGACGAGCACGCCCGAGGAGAGGCCCGAAGCCGTGCGCCGCCCTGCGCCGCCCGAGGGCCGATCGCCGCGCACCCGAGGCCAACCTCCGGCCACGAGGCGCTGCTGCTGCCCATCGGGCTCGTGCCGTGCCGGCTTCGGCGTTGGTTTCTGACGCCGACGGGGTCGGTTCGGGCGCGGCCGAACCGACCCCTGGAAAACCGTCCCCTTCCGTGACGTCCTTATCGCCTTTCAAGCTCCCCTCGGGCCGCATACACACGTCATGGGGCGAGGCGACGGGGGCGTCACGGAAGGGGCATGGTCTGCTAAGGGTCGTTTAGGTTGCCCCTGAATCGTTGTTTGAGGGGCAACGATAAAGAGGGGATAGGCATAGGGGGGGGGACATCGACCTAGAATCAGCGATACATATCGCCGCTCGACCAGCGATCGGCCTTCGACAGTGAATCCGCACGCTCCTGGGCAGGTTGGGGCTATCGGCCCCTATCGGCGATCCATGGACCATAGGGGGTCGATGCATCCCCCCATATGCCTACCCCCCTTATCGTTGCACCCGATGGCTTCTGACGCCGCGGGGATCTTTCAACCTGAAACGATCGGCCGTTTCTGAGACGTCGATTCGTTCCACATCGACCGATTCTGGGCCGCCAGCGGCGTCCGACGCTGAACGCCAGCGGCGGGGTTGCCACTGGTCGACACGACGTAAATCCTCCGCAGGTGCAGCCGGTCCTCCCAGACTTGTTAAAGGGGCCCAGGGACACACACACACACACATAAATACACACAAATCCAAGGATTCCGTCTATTTTCCCGGGAGTCGACGCCTGTGTGTTCTTCCCACTCCTGACTTGTTCGGTATGCGGTGTCTCGGGTCCGACCGGCGGTCAGGCGCCGACGGTGCGACTGCTGCGCCGAGTGGGCGCAGAGGCGGAGGGGTGGCGGGAAGAGCGGGAGGATGGGGCCGCGGGCGGCCGGGCAGCCCTCTGTAGAAGATGGACAAGCGCGTTCCACTACTCGCAAAGTAACTGCTCGCACATGGCCTGGATCCGCCGTGGGGGACTTACGATCAATCACACAGGAGGACGACATGTTTTTTTGTCGTACGTTTGCGAGTAGGCACTTTGCGAGCAGTGGAACGCGCTCTGAGTCGACGAAGAGCAAAAACCATAATCATAAACTTCCATCGCTCCGCGCGAACTTCTTGGATCCGCGCGGGGCCCCGCTCAGGCCCGCAGCTGGCGGTGCGCCCGAGAGGTCCGCAAATCTCCCAGGCATCCGACCCTGTGTTTTTTCCATCCGCAGCCCCAAGGGTCCCGACCGCTTCCCCAAGGGGTATTTTTTTCGTCCCGGATGCGCTGTTGACGGACCCAGGGGCCGATCAGCAGCCCTGGAGGCCCGAAATGAGTTAGAGGAGCCAAAGCAGCATAAACACGGTTTCTCGGAGGTCCGCGCGGATTGCTCGGATCGGCGCTGGACACCTTCCTTGCGGCGCCGGGGGGGCCCAGTCCCCCCCAAAAAAACCATCGCGGACCTGAGAGAACGTCTGTTTGTGAATGTGTTTCTGTCTCGAATAAAGAACAAGTGCTGGTTGAACAAAAATAGATTGTCGGAGATCTGGGTTGCAGTCATCGTGCTACAAGAAGGAACGCTGAATATGCTCTCCTTTCGTGGCAGCCAGGGGGTCTGAGCTGGTTCGGCCCCGCGAAAACGGTTAAGAAAGGGGATCCCTCGATCCGTTGATGACGGTCCCGGGACCGAAAAAATCAAACACACATGTTCAAACCCAGAACCTCAAACCTCGCACCCCCTCCCTGCTGGCCAGAACCAGGGCCGAGCCGCCCAGCCGGCTCCAACTGAATCCATCGTCTCGACTGTGTCGTCGGAGATCTGGATTACGCGCAGCCGCTCTCCTCTCGCTCCGCTCTTGGCCGCAGGGAGCCTACGAAACTCCGACTCACCGCCGATCTCATCCAGGCTTCGCTTTTCGGATCGTAGCTCGGGTCTTCAGCAGCCTTTCGGGACGACTCGTGCTACTCCTAGACGCCTCTCGGCGAGGCGCAGCCGCAGGAGAGGACCCCGAGGCTGGGAAACCGCCGAAGACCGACGACGCCGCCAGAAACCCCAGACCTCTACCCCATCGTCCTCCCCCGAACCCCCAACCCCTAACCTGTCCTCCCCCTCTCATTGCCCTCCGCCACCCGCCGAGGAAGGCCTGCGGCGGCGGGCAGCGCCCCGACGATCGGAAGCTCAGACAGGCAGCCCAGGGCTGCAGCCCAGGGCGGAGCTCGACCACCTGCGCGGCACGCCAGGGTGGTGCCTGCGGCGGAAGGGCGAGGAGGAGTGAAAGGAAAATGTTTTAGGGACGCAACATTTCCCTTCAGGAGAAGGAGGAGGAGGAGGAGGAGGAGGAGGAGGAGGAGGAGGAGGAGGAGGAGGAGGAGGAGGGAGCAGAAGGCAAATCAGGTGCGCTCGCGTCGCATCTGACATCGGGTACCTCCCTCCGATCCCTCACCATTGCGTTGATCCCCCTCTCTACTCGTGCAGGCGGATGTCGACGAGGGCAATGATCCCCAAAAGGTACGTGATGCATGCGGTCAGGAACTTTTGCTCAGCATGTCGCCGCGGCGGCCCCAGAGACACGCTATGCCATACGAGTGGATAGCGTGTCGCTCCGCTCCGCGGGGTGGGAGGCTGGGATAGAACTGGGACGTTGACGTAGAACAAAACCAGACATGGATAGCGTGTCGCGTCGAAGCGCGGTGGGTCAGAATCAGCGGAGTGACATGTTGTTTAAAAGTTCGTGATCGTAATGGCATAGCATACCGACGGAGCACGGCAGAGAGTGGCACCGAACAGGGGGGCCTCCCGCGAGCGACGACGCGGCGACCTGCGCAGGCACCGCACGCGCAGCGCACGCGCCGCGCGGAGAGAGAGAGAGAGAGAGAGAGAGAGAGGGAGCGAGCGAGAGAGAGAGAGAGAGAGAGAGAGAGAGAGGGAGCGAGAAAACGTTCACGCGCCAGCAGCGGCGATCGCCGGGGAGGGGCAGAACATTTGCCAGCGTGGCGTGGAACACATGCAGGGTGACGCTCGGCGACGGCGCTTGACGACGAACTGAATGGACTGTTCCTCAAGATTTGTTTGCATACCGCAATCTTCCCGCTTGAAGCAGACTCCACCGCCCGGGGCCACGTTTAGTATACAACAGCAACCACGCCCCAGGGAAGGCACATTGTGTACCAGGCCCACGATTTTTTCAGGCGGGACTGTACAGGCGCCCGGAAGGAGGACGAGAATGAGGAGGAGGCGGGCGAAGGCGAGGCGGGCAGTCCTGAGCCGGATCGACGTGCGACATCGAATCGCATCGCAAACGGCTCCCAGTATGCTCGCGTCGTAGAGCACCACGGCGGGAAGTTCTTGGTTGTTTTCGGCCTCGGGGGGCCCTCGCAGGCCGCCCAGACCGTCGAAAATGGCCCCGGATGAAAAACCGGCCCAGGGTCGGGACTTCCGGGGTTCGCGCATTGAAAAAATCCAGGCGCCGCATGCCTGCGCAGGCCTGCGCTGGATCGCATCGAAGTCGAATCGGGTCGGAAGCGAAGCCGATCGCTGACGGATCGTCACGAGTCGAATCGAGATCGGACCGCCGCCCCCGTCTCTGGCTGGCCCCAGCCGATGGTGGCGAACCGAACCGAATCGAATCGCAATCGGGGTCCCGGCCGGCGCGAATCGAATCGCATCGAACCGCATCGCAGGCGGCATGGGCCGATCCTTCGAGCGTTCCAGGATCGATGGCGGACTGCGAGGCTCGACAACTTTAGATTCTCGGGCGTCTTTCGACCTCGTCGGGCAGGCTGGGAGGCTCCTCGTCGCCAAGGCCAGGTCCGCCTCGAGGCTCGTGTGTCAGAGCGCACCCCAGCGGGCAGCCGCCCCTGGCCCAGACCGCAAGGAAGACAGGCCCCTGCTCGAGAAGCCGTCCGGCGAGGACGAAACTCGGGGCACCGATTCGGGCAAGGAGGAGGAGGGAGGGGAGAAGGCGAATCACCCAGCGTCGCCAACGCCAGAGCCAGGGCGCAGCGAGGCAGCAGCGAGCGGCACGACACGCAACCGCCGAAAGAGCCAAACCGGACCGACGCAACGCCGCCGGCCGCGACATGGCCGAATCGGCTGGGCCGCGGCGGGCACCCTTGGCATGCCGATTTTTGACGCCATGGACCCGCCCCGCTTCTCGAGGCCAGGGCTGATGCCTACGGCGGCAAGAGGCGAGGCGGGAGGCGAGGCGGGAGGCGAGGCAGGAGGCGAGGCGGGAGGCGAGGCGGCAGGCGGCAGGCGGGTGGTGCACCAGGCAAGCTCGGAGGAGCGGGGAGCAGAGCAGGACAGAGGGGCAGACACCCGACCCTCCGCCGGCCAAGCGCAGGAGTGACCCCAAGGCAAAGGTGACCTTTGCTGCGGGGCGTGCCGCTCGTTGCGTGCGACAGGGCAGTAGCGTCTTGCGCGCTTGGGCCTAGCACCCCCGCGCCACCCGAAAGCCGCGCAGCAGAGGGCACTGTGGCGAAGGCCACCCTTACACGCAGCCGATCTCCGACACCTCCTCCCCCTTCCTCTTGAGAACTAGGGGGCTCAATATGCAGTCATGGCGCCCCACTACTTGGGCCTCTGGCGGCCCTTCGGCTCGTTTTGGGCCCCCCTAGACTCCTCTCGACGAGGCGCAGCTGCTGGAAGGCATCACGAGGCGAACGTATTCTAGTCCCTGCCCCCCCAGTCCTCACCACCCTCTTGGACGTCCCTGCCGTCGATTGGACCAAAAAGGTGGCGGCGATACACGGTGGCGACCGGCGGCGGCGGCGGCGGAGTGGCTTCTGGGGCACAACTCGGCCCTCCGGCGGCCGTTCGGAGCGATCCAGGTCCCCCGGACGCCCCCCGACGAAGCGCACCTGCTGGGACACATCCCGTGGCTGGGAAACCACCGAGAACCGATGAGAACGCCCGAAAACCTTCCACTTCGAACCCGAAACTCCCCCCCCCCCCAACTTGAGCGGGGCCGCGACGCCGACGTGCGGCGGCGACTGGCGGCGGCGACTGGCGGCGGCGGCGGCGGCGGCGGCGGCCCTCGGCGGCTTGCTGCTACTAGCTGGACTTCTCCTAGGGTGCGTTCTGACTAGAGCTTCGAGGCGAACCCAGCCGCGGCGACGAGGGCCTCCCCAGAGGCCCCAAACGGCGCAAACGAGGGATGGGGTAGCAAATCGATACCTGTTCCTCCACTGAAGCCAGAACCGACGCAGAGCTCCGACGCTATGACCCTTCCACAACGTCCACTCCCTCAAGGTCCCCTCCCATACGCCGGGACCAGCTTTCTCATCCTAAGTGTCCGCAACCGTGCCTCTGGGCACGGAATGGGCGTGCCCTCAGGTCCTGTGTCCAATCCCCTGAGCCTGAGAGCCTCAGCCCGCAGTCAGGAGGAGTCAGTGAGAGGCCCCGGACCAAGACTGCCAAAGTGGGCGGGGCTTGCCGCGGCTCCCGTGGGGGTCCTGGCGTGGTGGCGCGCGACTTCTGCTGAGCAGTTTCGTTGGTTGAGGCCCCCCGGGGCCCGGCCCCCGCAGGCCGAAAAGCAAGGCACTCCCCGTCGCCACTCAAGGGGGTCCGTGGAGGCCTCCCAGGTGGGGTCGGAGTAGACTCGTGGGGTCAGGCGAGGCGCAGGGGCGGTGAGGGGGAGGGTGGGCAGCTGGGGAACGAGGGGGGCAGGAGGGGAGGCGAAGGCAGGGGGGGCCGCCCCAAGGCTGCCCCGAGGAGGCCCCCAGAGAGGAGCCCCGGACCAGCGGGGGGTCGGATTGGAGGGGGTCTGTGGAGGCCTCCCCGACGGGGTCGGGATCGGGGTAGGTGGGGACTGCACGGGTACGCCCGTGTGCGAGTGTCGGAGTGGACCAGTGCAGATTTCCTCGGTCGACTCGTCTGGGCGGGCGTTCTCTCTCGATACCCGAGGCCTGGAGGCGGCCAGGGGGGCTGAGCCGGATGGACCCCGAGAAAATCGGTCAAGACGGGGGACGCAACTCGGTCCCTGGAACTCTTCTGGGGTCCATCTCGTTGGTTTTCTGGGGCCCGATAACAGCCCCCAGATACAGAAAAAGGCAACAACAACTCATCGAACCCAGAACCTCGAACCTTGCCTCTCCTTCCTGCTGGCCAGAAACAATGCTGGGCCACCGTAGACTCCGTAGACCCCCATTCAGCCCCAACCCGAGGTAGCCAATCTAGAGGCCTCCCAGATGGGGTTGGAGTGGACGGGGTCGGAGGATCGCGCCGCATCGTCGATACATCAGCGATGCATCGGCGACGTCGGCGATGTAGGGGCGACGTCGGCGCGGAGAAATTCGGCCTCCACATCGAGCCGCAACGCCGATGCATCGCCGATGCATCGGCGATGTGGGTGCGACCCTCCGACCCATCTACCCAGACACCGGGCGTCTCGATTTTTTCGAGACGTGTGCCCCAAACTTCTCGACCACTCCTCGGGGACCCGTTTTGCATCCCGAGTCCTTCTTTGACGGCTGCGAAGCCCTCTGAGGGCCCCGAGAGGCCGAACAATATGAAAACCTGTCTCGATTTTCCCGAGACGCCAGATGTCTTGGTACTCAGGCCCCATTTGGGAGGCCTAGTAGGGAACCGAACTCTATATACACCGACGCGTGTCCCTGCCCTGCACGGAAATGTACCCCCAAACACGGATCCTGGTGGATACGGGATCCTGGTATGTACGTGTGTCGCTGTTCCCCCGTGGAAGCGGAAACGAAAAGCAGACACCACACCACCCCGACGCCGCTCCCGACCCTCGAAGAGTCCTGGGATTGATGAACGGCCCGCCGCTGGTGATGTATACATACTTTATATATATATGTATATATATATATATTGTATACATACTATATATATATATATGTTCCGTATATGTGTTCCAGCTTCTGACCTGGAGTTCGCGGATGCCGACTCGGACCCGTCGCGTCGAGCAGGGCCCTGGCGCCCGCCCGCCGAGCGGGGCCTGCCGAAGGGCCCGCCTGCGCGCTGCAGCGCGCCGCTCGCCACGCCGCCGGCGAGGCCGGCGGGCTGCAGCAGGCCGGCGCGGCGCTGCGGGCTGAGCAGGCCCTCGAAGTACCTTTCTGGGTAGTCGAAGCCAATCTGGCGCCAATCTGGCAGGCCCAATCTGGCAAACGGGGGCAATCTGGCGAGGGAGCCAACGCGAATCCAGTCTGGCGAATAACCCAAATCATCCAGTTTGGCCAGGCCAGATTGGCCCTTGAGGCCCAATCCAATCTGACAGTCTGGCCTTCGACTACCCAGCCTTTGCAGGGTGGTGCGGGACGAGTGCACGCCAGTCGGAAGAAGCGGGTAGAACCATGAAGTGGGAAGGCGTTGGAGGTAGACTGGGTTCCCGCCCGCCCCCTCGAAGTACCTCCTCAGACCCCTGCAAGCGGGGTGTTAGTAAACGGGGCGATAGCTAAGGGGCCTCTTCACGCTGGAACGTAGCGACAGGGCGTTTACCTCGCACCAGTGTGTGATACATCGGGACTGCGAAGACGTCGATGCATCACCACAACTCTGGGCGGGGGGGGAACCACGCACTGGTGGGCGGCAAATCAATCTCTTGAAAGCACAATGAAAAACGCACCCCTAGCTACCGGCCCGTTTATTAACGCCCCGTTTACTAACGCCCCGTTTGCAAGGCCTAGACCTTCGCGGGGTGGTACGGTATGAGTACACGCTGGTCGGAAGAAGTGGTAGGTTCGTTACTTTCAACGACCGATGGGTATGATTAGCAATTAAAGGACCCCTGCCCCCTGGGAGGTGACGCAACTTAGCAGGGCCGATAACATTGGAGATGTTTGCTTGTTTGTTTTCTGCAGGTGTGCTGAGCCCAGCCGCCCAGAATTAGTATCCCTCATGCAAAGACGGGGACCTGAGTGCGGCCACGTCCTCACCATGTTGTCAGGTTTAGGGGATCCTTTGTCCCCGATGACGGTCGGGGCGACAAGCGCTACCCACGGGGAGGTCGTCGAGGCCGCTGGGGCCGCGGACGAGACAAACATGGCACCGTCGGATGTCTGGTCCGGGGGTCGAGGATCGAGGCCTCCTGGAGCTTCCTGGGGCGCCCTCGTCGCCGCGGCTGGGTTCGCCTTGGGGTTCCGAGGCGTCCAGGCCGTAGAGGAGGGGGTGTAGTCGAATATTGACGAACGCTGCGAGCCCCGCGCTTGAAGTCCGATCAACGTCAAAAGCGTCGAATGTTGACAGACCGCCCTTTAGCAACACTCCCTTTCCTGAAAGGTGCCAGGGGGCACTCCAGGTGCGCACGGCACCGCAGTCCGAGCGGGGTAGCTAATCGACGTTCAAAAACAACCGAGTGTATCCGGCGAAACGCACGCCGACTAGCCCAAACGACTGGAGACTGCACGGGTACACTCGAATGCGAGTGTCGAATGGACCAATGCAGATTCCCTCGGTCGACTTGTCTGGGTGGGCGTTCTCTCAATACCCGCGGATTGGGGGCGGCCAGGGGGGCTGAGCCGGATGGGCCCCAGAGAAATAAAGACAAATACTCTCAAAACCGGTCCCTGGCCCACTCCTGGGTCCATCAAAATCAATGTTTCACCCCAGATCCGTTTTTGACCGTCCTGGGGGCTGGATAACGGCCCCCAGAGGCAGAGAAAGGCAACAACAACTCATCGAACCCAGAACCTCGAACCTTGCCTTTGCTCCTGCTGGCCAGAACCAATGCTGGGCTACCGTAGACCCCCATTCAGCCCGACCCGAGGTAGCCAATCTAGATGCCTCCCAGATCGGGTCGGAGTGGATGGAATCGGAGGATCGCGCCGCGTCGTCAATGCATAACCGATGCAGTGGCGATGCATCGGCGACGTCGGCGACGTATGGGCGACGTCGGCGCAAAGAAAGTCGGCCTCCACACCGAGCCACAGCGCAAATGCATTTTTTTTACGATGCGGTGCGATCCTCCGACCCCACGTGATCCGACCCCAATTTGGGGGGCCTGGAGCCTTTCGCGGCGTGGCCGGCCATGTTGATCGAGAGATAGTGCTTTCACGGCAGATCAAAGCATCAGCGAAGCATGACCGGGAATCATGGCTGAACGACATGCTGTCAAATGGGACAGTTCAAACAGAGAGGATTCAAGCGACAAGGACGGCTTAGAGACGCGAGTGGACATCCCGTCGGGGGTGATGAACGCGCTGGAACCATGGCAAAATATTACGCCACGGTGCAGTGAAAACCGCCGCCGCTGGGCAGAGCTCTTCCATACAGGGATTAACCTGGCCCGGTGTTGCCGCTGTGGACGGGCGATTTTTCCAGCGAGGAACTGTCAGCAGTACTTGCGAAGTTGCGGACAGGAAGGGCTTCGGGACCTAACGGCGTTCCCCCGGACCTCTGGAACGCGCTTGGGTCTGACGCAGACGCCCGCGATGTTCTACTCAATATTTGCAATATGTGCTGGAGGGAGAAGACCGTGCCAAAGCAGTGGCAACATTTCAGTGTATCCACTGTGTTCAAAAAAAGGCGATGTGTCTCTGCCCAAGAACTACCAATCCATCTCGCTCTTGTCTGTTGGGTACAAAGTAGTCGCCGCCTTCGTCCTGCCTTCGTCCTGCACCGCATGGTAGAGGGAGGAGTTTAGGAACGCTTGCGACCAACGCAATTCGGATTCAGAAAACACCGTGGAGCTAGCGACGCATATTTTCTGGTGCAGAGATTGATCGAGAAGGCATGGGCGACCAAGGAAGGATGCCTGTCCGTGCTGCTGCTTGAATGGTCAAAGGCGTTCTACCGAGTGGACGCGGCTGCTCTGGTCATCGCCTTATCCTGGTTTGGCATCCCTGATGAATATACCGATCTCACTGCAGAGGTTTACGATAACAGTGCGTTTGAAGTACGTGATGCGCACGGGGAGTCTGGCATCTTCGACCAACAATCCGGCATCGCGCAAGGGTGCCCACTGAGCCCATATCTGTTCATCATCATGCTGTCCGTGTTGCTGACAGATGTCGAAGGGGCGGTGGTTCGTGAGCTCGGTCCATTTGCTCAAGGGCGAACGTGCTTGGACGTAGCGTATGTGGACGACACGGCCTCGATCTCTGACGACATCCCTCGTTTGCAGCTTTTCTTGCACACGCTTGTTTTCGGCATGCAGCGCCAGTGCTCACATCCACCGGGGACCCAATCGAACCCACGAGTATCTGGTGAAGCATTAGAAGCCACACGCCCTTCGCCACTGCGCTGTGCAGCGGCTCCCAAAAGGGGGCGATGACCGTGAGCATGCCAGCGGCCTCGCGAGCCGCCCTGGTGGCGCCCGCCACGGGGGGGCTCCGAGGGCCCCGCAGCAACTGAAACATCTTGCACTGCCAAAGAGGAGGAGGAAGGGGAGGCGGAGGAGAAAAACACAACAGCCTGGCTCCTCCAGGCGTTTGCCACGACACGGTGCCTCCGTGCAGTAACTCGCAGTCGAGCCTCGAAGTGCTGCTCAACCGTGCCAGGAATGCCGAGACGACGGTTATTGTGAGACGCAACGAAAGCATCTATACAAACGGCAAACAGAACATTAGATGACATCGGTGAAGGTGACAGCAGAAGAAAGGGGAGGAGCCAGGGAGAACCCTCAGGTAACCACGACGACGAGATAAATAAATGACCAAGCCATCGACGGAAGAGAGCAGCAAGACGGGGGCAACGACTGTAATGCTCGACAGAATCAAGATCCTGAGAACCTTCATCTCGGCATCCCAACAGGCAACCAGCAGATCTGGGATGAAATCTTCGAGAGGAACAAAGACCACGACACAAGAAACGATAAATGCCTACCAACAGATATGGCTGGGTTCTCTCGACTAGAACGAACGAGTTAAGGAAGAAACGATCCATCATAGGAAGGGTAAGCTGAGGGAACCAGGCCGAAATTCGACGATAGAGAATACTGCGGGCATCTTCTCGAGGGCCGAACTGCTTAAGACAGCGATCATACAGTAGAGCTTGGAGCTTGCGGCTGGACTCATTAACACGCATCGGAATGCTCATGTGCCATGCATGCAGGGTGCGCATATATGAGAGAAAGCTGGATTTCCACCAGCCGGTGCGAACCCGAACCATAATCACGTCATCGTCGAACTCAAGGGAGGACAGACGGGCGAACACCTCTAGAACAGCAGGGCGCCTCAGAATATACCGCAAGCAGGTCGCTCGGGCCAACGACGCAAGCTCAGGAAACTCAACTGGAAGATTAAGCTGGCGAAGCTGTGTACACATCGCATAACTGAATGCATTCCTCGGCCCAGCCGTGAGGAACATGACCGACTCACGGTAGGCGTGTAATAGCTGCTTGCTAATGGGGTTGAGCTGAAGAATAAAGCCAAGCACGGAGACACACATGACACGGAAAGCAACAGCAGCACGAGCAAGGCCCAAGCCGAGACGGCGAGAGGTCCCCACACGAAGCCTAAACTTACGAAGGGCCTCAGACCACACCTCAGAGGATCCCAGAGGACCGATGCACATCCCAAGATATTTGACACAGTGAAGCACTTGAAGCTGTTTGATGTCACCCTTAAGCGCTTTGATGGAGGACCGAATCCAAGAGATCTCCAGATTCCCAACCAGGAGTAACTGACATTTATGATAATTAAGACGAAGCCCCGCAATGCGTTCCAGGTCCTCCAACTTGTGAAAGACAGGCCCCAGCGACGTAAAAATATCTGGAAGACCGAAGCAGAAATCATCAGCATATGCCAACGAGAGCGATATGTGAGACGCGAGCGATGCTTGAACCCATCTGAGCAACGGGTCAGCCGCCAAGACAAACAGGAGCATGCTGGATGGACACCCTTGCTTCACTCCCCGCCCCATGCAAATCTCCCCATGCCTCTTCCCTCCCAATACAATAGTAGCATGCTGAGCTTGGTAAAGCAACGTGAAGAAACGAATAACTGCAGAACTAATGCCCATGCGGGTAAGCACATGCAGAAGCCATTGCGTCGCGAGCGAGGGGAACGCAGCACAGAAGTCGGTCATCAAAAGGCCAGCGTTGTCGTGACCACGTGCAAATTGTTCTAACCCCCAGGCTTCTGCCTCGACAATGTTGGCTACCATGTCCCTGGC